TGACTTTTTTGCTGTTTTTATTTGCCTTAATTTTCTTAGTAATACTGAATGCTTAAAAAAATTATAGTTCATTTCTACATCTATTTTGTTTAAAATTCTTTAAATTACCACCTTGTAACTCTAATTTAATTATAATTCTGGTTAAATGAACATTTATTATTTTACTATGATACATAATAGTCTTGTTAATTGCTAAACTGTCATTAAAATTCTAACCATGAACTTTCTAAATCTTGTCATTCAGTTTTGATTCTGCTCCAAAACACTGAAAACCAGATACATGAAAATTTTTCTAGCAAATGTTATTAAATACAATCTTTTTGATTTTAAAAAAGGAGTAAATATGGTAACATATACATAGAAAAATAATTCAGAGAAAATTGCCAAAGAGTAGAACAACTATGGATTATTTTTTTTTTTACTTTGTGCACTTTATGTTTTCCTCAACATTTTTATTTTCAGAAAATATCTTAAAATTTAAATGTATACAATACCACTTTATTTTCATAAATAAAATGGTATGTGTGTGTATGCATATACACTTGCATTTATATAAGAAAAAAATCTGAAATTCCAAGCATCAAAACTAAATAATGACTAAGTTTGAAAACATGATTGCAGTAGCAAAGATAAAAGAAGAGGTAGTTTGATTCCTTTAACATTTTTATGATGCTTGAATTTGTATTTTACAGTAAGCACTCATTTTATAAAGCAAGAAAAATGACTAGAAAGATCTTCTAAATTGTCCCCTAGGTAGTCAGGTTGTCAGTGGACATAAATTCAATGCTATAGTAAAATAAATTCCATGTTATAATGAAGCGTGGTTATTACTATGTAGTTACAGGCATGATAATATAATGTCATTTGCTATTATTGCTATTATAATAATACTTTACATTTGTATATGTTAGGCTTATTTTATTTAGGTTAGGTTAAAGAAAGGAAATTTGAGGCATGTATGATATAATCCAATTTTCTAAACAGAATGAAGGGCTTGTGACTTGCCCGTGAATCCTTCCTAAACACAGGATGAGAAAAAAAATATAAGATCTGCTCTTTGAGGAAGTTATTTGAGCTACAGGGCCGACTTCACACAGGGAGCTCCAGAGCACCAGTGTAGAAGCTGCACACAAAATCATTTTCCCTGGAGGACTTTAAAAATAGGCTGGCATGTCTGCAAGAGTGGAAAAGTGTTTTTGCTGAAGGACAAGCAGATGGACTAGGTGACCTCTCAAGGTGCCTTCCAGTTCATTGACTTGGGCTTACAATGCTGGCTCAGGTGCAAGAGCCCCTTCCCACCCTAGGGCCCTCACCTGCATACACTGGCTGCTTCATCTCAACAGGCTGCACATTCTAACATGCTACATATAGAATCCTTGAGATTAGCTATTAGGTTCTACATGCAGATGTGAGCTCTCTTTTTTTGTTGTTCTTTTTAGGCACACATGACAGTAAAGTATTTTTACATATTATACATACATGGAGTATAACTTTAATTAGGATCCCAATTGCAGTTGTACATGATGTAGAATTTCACTGGTCATTTACTCCTATATGATCATAGGAAAGTTATATCTGATTCATTCAGTATACTGTCTTTCCTATTTCCTTCTGCCCCCTTCCTTTCATTCCCCTTTGTCTAATCCAATGAACTTTTATTCTTCTTTCCTCCCCCCTCCTTATTGAGTGTTAGTATCCACCTATCAGAGAAACCATTTGGCCTTTGGTTTTGGGCGTATTGACTTAGTTCATTTAGCATTATAGTCTTCAGTTCTACCTACTAGTCATCTCTTGCAAGAGGTATGTTACTTATAAGAAGAGTCAATGTAAGCTCTACAAAGCCCAAATTGATGGACATATTATAAAATGACTGGCACTTGTAACCTTCCAAAATGTCGTTATGTAAAACAAAGTAAGGCAAAGGCACATTTTTGTCAAAGGAGGTCAAAGGGACATGAAAATGAAATGTAATGCGCAATCTTGGAGTGGGTCACACAATAGAAAAAAATGCTCTAAAAGACTTTATTAGGGCAATTAATGAAACTAGAACGATATGATACTTTAATATATAGTTCACAATGTTTGATTTTCTGGATTTGATATGAATTATGCATATACATAAAGAAATAGACACTAATGTATGAAGGAGTAAAAGCACACACCAAGATGAGTCAGTGACAAAATATTTAAAACTGGGCATTTAATGACAAAACATTTAAAACCACTATGAATGGTATCATCTTAACCAATTTCAAATACCATTTTGTCCTTGTCTATGGGACTGTTACAGGCCTGTTTCTCAGCTTGTCCCCTGTTCAACACTTAGCATCTCTAACCCCAGACCTTCAGGATCAGGACTCCAGCCACTTCCTGAATCCCAGTCCCAACACAGCACTTCCACCTGTCAAGGCTCACACTCTGACATGGCAGCAGGCTACTTGGACCCGAGCAAAGCAAAATTTAAAAAACAAAATAAAGACAGTGTGAGGGGGGAAAGGGGAAGGAGGGGAGGGAAAGTGTGTGGTAGGGGCCTCCCTTATATTTACAGTGAGCCACAAGGGAAATGAGTATTTATGATTTATTTCTACAGATTATAGGGTGGGACTAGTAACCTAGAAAAGGAGGTTAAGAAATAATTCTAGTAACCTAGAAAAGGAGGTTAAGAAATAATTTATATGTGCCACATAATGGTGGGCCACCATTATGCTAAGTGATTAATATACATTATCTATCTTCACAACATTTCCCATGGCAGGTTTTACTGACCCTATTTCATAGATGAGAACACTGAGGATCAAGTGACTTGCTAAAATTCATGACTACTAGGAGATTAGGCCATTAATCAAACCCCAAATCCAGGTCTTTATGCTTCCAAACTCATTATCTAATTGACTTCATAATATGTCATCCCAATTCTATAGGCATACAGTCAAGTAATACTATTTGCACTAATACTGTTAGTTTAAGCTAATTTATTTTATTAAAATCTGATAATTATAAACCACATTGGATTGATCATTAATTTGCATCTTCTACAAAGTTGCTAATAAAATTCAACCTATCTAGGGTGTTATTGTTTGGATCTGACATGCCTCCCAAAAGTTCAGGTATTGAAAAGTTAGTCCCAATGCAGCAATGTCCAGAAATGAGGGTTAGGGGAAGTGACTGGATCATGAGGGTTCTACCCTCATCAGTGGGTTAATCCATTTGATGAATTAATAATTTGAATGGACTTACTAGGAGGTGGTAGAAACTATAAGCAGGTGGGACCTAATTGGAGGAAGTAGGTTCTGGGGGATATGCTAGAAGGATTTATATTCTCTCCAGCCTCATCATCCCCACCCTACCCTCTCTTTCTCCTTCCTGGCTTCCTCGAGCCATGATTTCCCCTGGATGCTCTTCCACCATGATGTTCTGCCTCATCTCAGGCTCACAGAAATGGAATTGGTTGATCATAGATTAAGACCTCTGAAAAAATGAGCCAGAATAAATCTTTCCTTCTTTAATATTTAAGGTATCTTAATCACAGTGATGAAAAACTAACATACCAGGAAAAAAATTAAAAACAATATTTTGTTTTTAGTACTGGTCGGAGTAAACTTTGATCTATTTGTTTTGAAAAGCCACTTGATCATATGTAGCTACAACTGCAAAATGTTTTATATTCTTTGATCCAACAATTCCTTGGTATCTATCCTGTATTTTAATTATAGAAGGTGGGTAACTTTGTGTACTACAATGTTCCTTACAATGTTATTAACTAACTATAAACATTCAGATTATGACTAAAGTATAGTCTAAATGTTCAGTGGTAAAGGTCTAGGTAGGCAAACCACAGTATCTCTTCCCACCTAATAAAAACTCTAAAAAGACCCAATAAAAAAACTCAACCATTAGAAATTATGTTCATAGACATTGTGATAAATAAAAAATTCATATCATAGAACCAAGTGAAAAAAGCAGAACAAATTAAATACAAAGAATGATTACAGTTTGAATAAATTTTTTATGTTTTAGAAGATTGTGTTGACCTGTTGGGTACAGAATAGACTATAGGGGTTGTACCATAATCTACTTATAAGTTACTTATAAAATTATTATATTTGGGTATAGGCATAGTTCAGTGGTAGAGTGCTTAACCTAGCATGCATGAAGCCCTAGGTTTCATCCCCAGCACTGGGGAAAAAAATACCTATGCATTAATCCCAAAAAGCAATGAAGGGGTGGGTTGGATTTAGGTTTTAGTGAGGGAGGCAGTAAGAATCTGTTAGATTCTCTTAGATATTCTGAGAGTTTACAAAATTTCCTGATAGGTTTGACACGTGGTTTAAAAGAGTGGAGTCAAGAATGTCCTAGATAGTCTCTTTTGTTTAAGCAACTGGAAATGCTATTTTATGAGATGGGTGACCCTGAGGAGGAAGAGATTAGGGGCATGAACAATAAGGCTTAGATTTAGAGTATCCCTCCTTAGAGTTTCACTAGACATTCATGTGAGAAACAGCTAGATATAGAACTCAAGTTCATAAGAAAGTTCAGGGTAATGGACAGAAATTTGGGAACTATCTACTTAGAGGTGACATTCAAGCCATGCAACTTGATGAGAAGATTACAAATAGTATGCAGATAGGAAATAGAAAAGGGCCCAGTGTTGACCCCTTTCAGTAAGAGATTGGGAATATGGGGAGAACTGAACAAGGGAGACAGGGAAGGAACAGTAGGCAGGTAACAGGAATAATGAGAGAAGGCCGTACTTCAGAAGCCAAGTCAAAGTGGGATATTACAGAGGGAATGCTCAGTGGTATCAGAAGATGCTGATAAGTCAAGCAGTGATTGTTAGTGAGTGATGGACCTTGAGTTATTTTTAAAATTCTATCCTTTCTTGTTAGAAATCAGAACAGTGGTTGCCTAGAGTAGGGAAAGAAGGAATGTAACAGTGATAGAATGTTCTACACCTTGACTAGGGTGTGGGTCACAATAGTGAACAGTTTTCAAAACTCAACCTGTACACTTAATATCTCTACATTTCATGAAGTATGGAAATTACACTTCAATAAAAATAAAAATAAATTCTAATTTTCATGTCTGCATTTTCCAATATTACTATAATGAACATTCACTACTTTTATAATAAAAAATAAACACCTAGAAATGAAGGTCGGATTACTGCATATGTCAAACTTCTTTGAACTGTAAAGGTAAGAATTAACAGAATATTATTTTTTCCCTCAAACAAAAACCAATGTAAATAATATTTGAATAATGTACATAATGAAAACTTTGCCATGGATTTCCCAGGGAAACTTACTTCTGTAAGTTAAAAAAAAAAAAAACCTAATTTTTACATACAAACTAGGAAATATCTACTTCATGGTCCAAAAATAAATAGCTCTGATGATGACCGATTTTTGCATTTTGAAAATATAAAGCATTAACTTTTAATGCCAATTTCAGCATACTTACTAACATCAAAATGTGGCTAACATCAAAATATCGGGTAAATTCTGTGTGTTTTCTCCCAAATAGTCATAAAATAGTCCACCATGAGATTATTCCATTAGCTAATGACAAGGAGAGCTGTTTGTAAATCATAACACCACAAGTGCAGGGTCTCAGAAATAATACATTCAGAGACCATGGGAATTTCCATTTATCTCCATCACTCTTCATGGAATGCACCCTTTGAAGGTAGACATGAAAATCCTCCTCCTTTCCTGGAAAAATAGCCCAGAGCGAATTTCCAAATAACTGTGAACCCTAAGCATCACCTTTCTCAGTTAGCGCATTTTGTAGTACAATCAGAAGTTCTTGAGAAATTGTCCAATGACCCTCTCCAACTCCAATCTCCTTTTACTGTACATTGAGTCCCACTAGAACAAGAAGCCTCTTGTCTCAAGTTAGCTGAGGAGAAAATTTTAATTTATCTAAAAATTATATCAACTTTCAGATGTCCAAAAATGAAAGCTTTTCCTCCTGTCCCAACCTGCAAAACCTGTTCATTTTCCTTTGGCACATTTCTATTCTCTCCAGAAGTCATACTTGAAAACAAGGAATAATCAGTATTTTCTAGAATAGGAAGCTTACAGAGATGAGCAGAATGATAATTAAGGTTGATAGAAGGCCTCCAAATACCAGGCTAAATGGTGTGGATTTTATCTTATGGGCAAATGGGTATCATTGAGGGATTTTGAAAACAATGATACAATTTTTAGAAAATAAGTGACGTTTTAGCAAGATGGATTTGGCTCCAGTGTACAGAATGGATTGAAAGGGGGATCAAGCAATAGGAGAACTGAAATGGTTCAAGCAATTGGTGGTGAGGTCAGGGGTGGGGGGGCAGAGAGAATATAAAAATAAGAAATAAGATACAGATGTGATGAAAATGAAAATATGATTTAGAACAGGGTACATTTAAGGTGACAGTGGGATCCAAACAGAAATGTCGGTATAATGAAATGTAAGTATAATTGAAAGTGCAAGACTAGGAGGCAAAGAAGTACTAAAATGCCTTCAAACATAATTACCTCAAAAGAGCTTTCCATTGAGTGTAGTATATAGGCACTTGTGTTTACATCTGCCACAGAAGTTTGATGAGTTAAATATATTTAGTAACCTATAAATCAGAAACATCATTTTAGTACACAGGCAATATTAAACATTGTGAATTTACATTATTTTCTTCTTTCTGTATTCTTCAAAATCTAATTTCCATAAACCTCAAAATCCAGTGTGAATTTTATACCCATAGTGCACCTCAACTTGGGCTAGCCACATTTAAAGAACTCAGTGGTACCATAGATAGATGGCTGGAGAAGAAAAACTGATTATCAAGACAGAATATGTTAGAAGGTAAGTAAAAGTGCACTGTATGTGTACAAATGTGTGTTTGTTCTTACATATGTACTTAAAATAATAATTATAGGATCTTTATTATGTGCCAGGCAATAATTTAGCACCTTAGGTATACTAGTATGTTAACTAGTTGAAACAACTCTCTGAAGTTAATATTATGAATATTATCCCTATTTTAAAAATTAAGAATAGTCTTAAAAGATTAACTACTTTTAAAAATTATGCAGTAATTAGGTAACTTTTAGAAAGTTATCTAACCTCTTTCAACAAAGCTGGTCTCATTCCAGAATCCTTACAATTTACTAATATCAAAATTTGTGGGATTTATTGATTGACTTTCTTTGATGGCAGTGATAGAATGTTCTACACCTTGACTAGGGTGTGGGTCACAATAAATGCTATGGCTATTATAATCTTCTAATTCATTTTAAGCAATTATTAAGCAATTTTTAAAATCATGATTGTATGATTTACACCAGATATATTATATTACGTGTATATATATATATATATCCATATTTTATTAAACCGATTTTCTTCTCTGATCTATTGTATCCTCCATAAATGTGGGGCTTTTTCATTTAGCAACACAAATAATTGGCTTATTGGTTTGACTGGGAGTGCAAAAAGAAAGAATACATATTGAAAACTAGACTGATTAATATTCAGTGTGCTGGGCATGGATTCCCATGGGGAATAGAAGCATAGCTGTAACACTCCATGTCTCCTCATGCTAACTGTCATGGGTCTTAGCCCAGGTAACTAAGAGACTTGGTAAAAGCCTCCATGTCTGCCCAACATAGGCACAGATGACAAATATAGAGCCCTAGAAGCAGCCCTGAAGACAGATATGCCAAGTCAGAACATCTCTTGTATCTATCAACTCTACAGGTGGGCAATGAACCGACATGCTCTGCTAACATGTGGCAAGTTTCCAAACCTAAGGAATCTCCTCCAATTGAGAACCAATTAGGCTGAAAGCACTTAATGATTAAATCCCTCCTCCCAGTATGTCCACAGTCCCATAAAATTCCAACAGATAATTGCAGTAGGAGTAAAAGAGATCAAACTTAACAGGGCTTATAAAAGACATTTCCAATGGCTCAAGGCTATGTGATGTTAGTAGGATTATTGAATACTCACTGAATAAATTTCCTCCTCTGCTCTCGGCCCCCTATTGTTCCCACCTACAAGGATAATGGGGGAAGACAAATACAGAGCCATACTTATTAAAAAAAAAAAAACACTACCATCAAGTTCAAGTTTAGGCACACAAACTAACAGAAAAAAAAAATCAGTTATTCTAAATTATATTGACTGCTTAGCTTGGGAACTAAGTTTCTGGAGATCTTACAGAGCACATCCATGACCCTTTAATCTCTGTTGTCCATGCCTTGAGTACATTCCCAGCATAGTGAGCTTTCATTATTCTTGTGTTAGCAATAAGGTTAGTGGGAAGTTTCTCAGAAGTATATAACACAATGGGCACCTCCTGGGATTTTCTAGGAAAAAAAGTAACCTTGATAAAATTTTCAAACTTAATGCATGCCCTAACTCCTTTTTGGACTTCAATTGTTCCCCTCATGGATCCAAAAAAAAAAAAAATGTTGTAAGTTATTGCTAAAGAGAAAATATTCTGAACAAAGGTTTAAAGACGTCTAGCAAAGGGTGGCTGCTTTTCTTGTTTTTAATCCCTTGTCTCTACTTGATCCTACATAGATGTTTATCACAGTACTTATAGCACCTTATAGAACATTTGGGGTTTTATTTTTTGTTTTCGGGTTTGCTTTGTTTTGTTTTACATTTTGTACACATACATACCATGTGCATATACAAATTAATGGGTAAACTAAAGAGTGTGATCTGCAGACTATCAATATCAGAATCATGAGAGTGGTTGATACAATATGCTTTCCTGGGCCCCATCACATGGCACCTAAATTAGAATGTCTTTGGAGAAGGGCAGTAGGATTAACTAAAAAAGGCTGACAACAGCTATAAGGAAACAAATCTCTCAAATACAGAGAACATGTCTCAGCAGAAAAGAGATATTTGGGACCAAAAAGACTTCTGGGTCTACCTGATCCTAAAAGAGGCTAGTCATTTCTGTGTATAATGAGTAGCCCACCCCTACAGGCCTGAAAAGACTCCACTTGATACTTTGTCAATTGTCTAGACCATATATTTATTTTGTTAGAAACTTGGAAATATTTTACTTTATAAATAAAATTTCTGGTGAGCATAGGGCACAATTTCTCAGTCTGGGTCAAGGTCTCTGAGCAAGAACAAAAACTAGAATAATAATAGAACTGGACTCTTCTAAAGAGTCACTATTAAAATTTATCATAAAATAATAAAATATAGAGTAGAAATTTTAAAAATGGGATTAAAAGTCTGTATTTGGTTCATTTTAATTCATTTTATTTACTTATACATTTGTTTACTTTCCATTCAATAAATATTTCCTGAGTGCATATGATTTACCAGACACTGATCTAATAGGTAAAGAGAGATACACAAGATAGACAAAGTTCCTTCCTTGTCCTCATATGGCAAACACTGGGTTCATTCATTCATTTATCCAACAAATTAACTAAACATTAATATTTGGAAGAAACTAGGCTGGTTACTGTGAAGAACATTTAGACAAATGCTGCCTTGACCATGTGCTTGAGCAGCTATAACATAGCTGGGGTGCTCATGATCAAAATGACAAAATGCAATGAACACCAAGTGCAAGAGTTAGATTACCTCTGACTGGGGCTGACTAAAAAAGAATTTGAGCAAAGCTGTAAATTGAGGCAAATTTTGACATTCGTATATGAAAAGAGTCTTCAGCTGCTAATTTAACAGGGGCAAAGGCAAACATGCTCGTCTTACTTGAGAAAATATAACAGGGGAGTGCTACCTAGTGAAAAACACCTGAAGAGGTTGGAAAATGCCTGGCTAAGGATTTGTTCTATGTTGCATCCCTATATATGCATCTTCCATTTCCATTTGCTTACTCAATTATTCATTTGAACACTGAGTGAGCACCTAACAGAGTCAGGTGTCATATTAGGTGAGTATATACAAATGATATCTGATCTCTGTCCTTGAATGTCTTAGGGAACAAGAGAGAAATGATGAATATGTAGTATATGTGCTACTACTTCTGTCCCCTCACCCCTTACCAATTAACACAAAACTCTTGTTTACTGAGCCTATACATAGCCTCTGAATATTTTAAAATATAGTAGTTCACACAGATATTTATAAAAAAACAGATTCTATGTTAAGAGATATATGAAAGGCTGAGATTTTCCAACAAAGTCTACCCTGGATCTGCCAGCTGGCTATAGACTCAAGCCCTGGTGCACTGGCTTAGCTTAGCTCTTCAAAAATCATCATCCACTCCACAGATTTTTGAGAAATAATAAATGGTTGCGATTTTAAGCCACTCAGTTTTTGACTGGTTTGTGATGTACAACAGCAAACCAGTAAAGAATTTGATAATGGACTTGCAATCAGCCATAACTAAAACTTAGAATATGTGATGTTGGCTTTGGGTCAGAGCATCCAGCAAAACCTAACAGAAATGGTGAGAAAACTGTTAGAGAAATGGTGGTCCATTTCATATAATGGTGAAACTATTGGTAAAACTCTCACCTGTTGTATCTGATAGAAAATGTGCTAATGAACTTTGTATTTCAGCGATAAGATTCCCAGGAAGAATGTTGAAAGTACTTTTTGGCTCTTATTGGCTATATCTGACATACTGTTACAAGAAGGAAATGTTTTAAAGGAAAAACTATCAAATTTACAAGCAGATCAGAGAGAAAAGATTGAGGGTTCATGATTTTCTGGGAGGAACATAAAACTGTTTTCATATTTAGCTTCTCTGGGGAGGAAAAGAGCTCTCAAAAAACACAGCCTGGGGACAAATATCAAATTACAGGTGTGGCTATAAGATCTTTTATAAAGATCTCTGGAAGAATTAAGGCAGGGCTGAGTAGAACTTCTCTTCTAAAGAAATAGGGCTTACAAGAGCAGGAAATTGGTAGCATCTAACTCATGTAATAGAATCAAATCACATTCAAGGAAATCCACAATGTTGCAAATTCATCTGGAAAAAAAAAAGCTGCCAAGAAATGCTCAAACTTATAAAGATATTTTTGTGCTCCCAATTGTCTACAGGAAAGAAATAGGAATATTTTACAATACTTTTCAGAGGTGGCCTAGCAGAGTGGGAAATAAAAAGAGGACACAATGCAGAGACAAGAGTCATGGAGAACAGGCTGGGGAGCCATTCCCAGGAAGTAGAATTAAAACTCTAATCTAAAAACGGTCCATCTTCAGAATATGGGGAAAGAGGTAGCATTTACCTGGGAGTTCAGAGTTACTATGGACCAATGACTACTATGTACTTTCTATTCCTTCTTTTTCTAAATGGGAATTCTTATGTAGGTTAGTTTCTTCTCATTTCATCACTAAATGGTGGGTGGGTTTGGGGAAGACTTTTTTCCCCTCGTATATAACTGTCTAAATTAAGAGGAGCCTAATATGAACCTGAGATAAATTATACCTTTGATTTCAAGCTTGATGCCAATGACTTGGAAAGATTTGGGAGGGTACTGGGTTGGGAGTAAAACTATTTTACATATGACATCATGTAAGTATTCGTGCACAGAAAAGAGATTATAGTAGAGTGATTGAACAAGTGGCCCACATTTCCATGTCTCCAATAAGCATGTCCTTTGGTACTGTTTTCTCACTCTTAGTGTGGGCTTAATGATGTGACTTGTTTGGCCAGTACAAAACATTTGACATCCATAAAAGTTTCAAAATGTGCTCAAGGGCTGGGTTGTGGCTCCGCAGTAGAGCGCTCGCCTAGTATGTGCGAGGTGCTGCATTTGATCCTCAGCACCACAAAAAAATGAATAAAGTAAAGGTATTGTATCCAACTTAAAAAAATTATAAGAAAAAAAGGTGTTCAATTACTTCTGCCTTCTATCTTT